CTTTTTTTAATTGATTTTATGCGATTTATTATATTAATAAAATATTCCGTGGAATCTATATCGAACTTCACTACCACATACATAATACTATATACTATTACTAAAATAACAGTATATACACCTTTAACCGATTGTATCGATCAATTTAAATTTTACTTGTAAAATTTTCTCTTTATTATTTCATTAATTCAGCACACAAAATATACCTGTTTGCAATTACAATATTACAATTGACATTATAAAGTTACAATTCAATCAAATTTGCTACATAAAAATAACAATGAGATATTTAAACTTCATTTACCTTTTGCCAAGTTCAATTGAAGTTCAATTGAAACCCTGCTCTAGAGACTTTTATAATCTATGACTGTATAAAATTTCAAAAATATAAGTTTTATAAATTAGAAAATGTAAACAGTAAAGGCACTCACTGGTTGCGCAAACCTGTAATCTGCAAGATTCGATCCACGCCAGAACTTGATTATTTCTCTTGCGCTTGCTCGTAGGCTAACTACACTAAATTTACTCTCGCACTGTGTTTTGCCTATGACCATAGATAAAAGGAGTATAGACATAGTATGTCTATATATAGTATACAAGCTGCTATACCCGTGCGTTGCAACGGGAAGAAAATGTGACCCAGAGAGCTATTTAAGTGGTGCTGATGTGTGTTTTAAAATACAACAACTATATGATTTAGTATGAGAATATAAACTGATTTAATAAAAGTGTAAACCTACTTACTTTCAAACCCCTACTTTTAATGTAATGGATCCAAAAGAATATGACAACATACCTTAGTGTAGCAATAGCATCGATTGCTTCATATTGATGTTTCATGAATGACATGTTTTTTTTTTTTTTTTTACCATAATTCTTCAATTTTAGTCAAGCACATGAAGCTTATATAAATTACAAAATGAAACTTTGAGCAATACTTTACAAAACGTATACAACCTTTCTTTAAAACCAAACATAACCCTCCTCAATCTACATAAAGCACCACAAACATATTTTTCGAGTAAATAAACAAACACCAGTTCATTGTACTGATCAGCTGTTTCATTAACAAAACTAAATTAAATCATCTAAACTTTAGAAGCATGCCAGGCGTAGCCCTTTGGAAATCAGCCTGTGGGGCAGAGCCCTTAGGAAATTCATCCATATCAATACTTTTCGGCAAATCTACATACTCTAACCTTCATTTTGATGTGCCATATGCCTATATTTTTATTTGGTAAATGGCCTTAACCATTTACATAAAATTTGATTGTATCACTTTAATAATATAATAATAGATAATAGATATGAGAATATGTATATAGTATGTCTATACTCCTTTTATCTATGCTATGACACATCGTCCGCCGCACGTAGTACAGTTAACTATAGATTTAGCATGAGTGCACCATGCACCAGTATGACTGACCGTTTCAAATAAAAAGCATCATATTAAGCTTTTTGTTTTGCCTCTATCACAAACAGTGTTAAAAATAATTTTCATCATAATGCAGCAATAACAGCCATTTTTAATGTATGGTACTGTACACTAACGCAATCGTAATAGACAAAACAATTGAAGCACTTACTAAACAGCTGCTGGTTTCCATTACCAAATTGAATTGAAAACAATTTAGAAGTAGTTTTGAGAAGTTATATTTATATGAAAACTATTTTTAGTTTTTAACATAGTTTGTTCAAATAATGGTGCAATAAGTCGAAAAATATAGGTAGTTCATCACACAGACAAAAAGTGTCTTTTATAACATACTACTTACAGTATTGGGAGCCTGATTGGAGTACAGTATACCCTTATGGGCTCTAGAGTAAGTAAACCAGAAAATGACGGTTTCACATAAAACATTGTATTAAGCTTTTTGTTTTGCCTAGTCTATCACAAACAGTATAAAAATAAACTTATAGGAGCCTGATTGGAATATACCCTGTCAACGGTTCAGAAATGAAGGGTACAGTATATACATCATGCGTATTAAAACAGAAAGTGGTATTGATCATAAACATAAACAAATTACATAACCGGCCAGAATCCTATACAGTAGAACTCCAATTATCCGAACTCCAATTAACCGAATCTCCAATTATCCGAATCGCTTATTTCAACAATTTTAAAAACGTAAAGCTACAGTAATAAGTTTTGCAAAATATCAAAGAATTGTTATTAAACACATTTAGCCAATTTTGGACTTTGATGGAACACTATTGACTTAATAACATGTATAGAACACTTGTACTACTGTATAAGCATTGTAAACTGTAATAATGTTCGGATTTAAATTATTATTAATTAAAAGTTCACTTAGTACCGAAAATGAGGATTTTTCTGTAAAATTCCTGGAATTCCGGTAAAACTCCGATTATCCGAATTTTTGATTATCCGAATGGGGTCTGGTCCCTATTGATTCGGATAATCGGACACTAATAACATTTACATGGTTTTATGACAGTTCCATTTCAGAAATATTAAATAATGTTTACTAATTGTTACTATAATATTATGCAGCATAGTTTGTTTATTTTTATGATCCATAATGTTTCTGTTCTAGTAGTGGAAGATATAAATATTTTAATTTGAACGGATGATGTTTTTGGCCACTAAAGCCACCGAAATGAAGTAAATCGGTCCCGGATCCAGGTCTTAACACGAGACCTACGGTAATAGCTTATTCCCTATAGGGAGTTCAAAGCTTCATATAGTATAAATATCCAGTCTTCCAGTATCCAAAGTCAACATCGATTCTCCTAGTGGCTGGTGGAGGGGGCGGATTGGTAAATTTAGCAATGTAGATGTACATTGTACTCGCCACGTGATCATACAATCAGCTGTTGCTGGCGTTGAAGTCGATATCGATGACGTCACGGACGTATTCAACATGCGTACAACCACGTCTGTGATTGACAATGACATTGGCGTGTGGAGCGAAATACAAATAAGCGTGCCATGTAAAACATGCGACGAACAAACATAGTGAAATGGTTACTCGCCACTTAATTGCCTTGGTATCCTAAAACCTAACAAACTGAGAGGCCAAAAGATTCACATAGAAATTCTAAAAATTGTGTTTAGCTTATTTGTTGTGGATTACAAATTAACCTTGGATTGTACACCTTTTGAATGGAAACCATGTATGTCATTAACGATGTTTTACTTTGTTATCCCATTAACGAAATCGTGAGTCATCTTTGTTTCTGTGTACTTTTAATTTTCTTTTAAGGAAATCTTTGAGGAAAGAACGCCTTTTTCAACTCATTTTTACAAAGAGGTTTCTACACTTAAGTCATTATCATGTTGTCTTCATTATTTTGAATATACAGTTACAATTGAATAAATATATATTAATGTGGCTCTAAAACACAACAATGTGATTGTGGACCAAGAATTCCGTTAGTTTGTAATGTTTTACTGTCGTTACAAAGAAGAAAATATAAAAGAATAAAGTAAATCAATATTTGTTCCATCTAACTTAAATAATGTCGATTAAATACGGATACTGAAGTGCACTGTGTAGATGATTTCAATCAATCTATCACAATAAAATTAAACACTTTGGATTTCAGAGTAAACAGTAATCATTCTGGACTCCTTTTGGAATGACGTGTAAAAATCCAACAAACAATAGGCTACATAGCCTACTTTGCAAATCTTTTAATTGGAACTTTAAAAGTCCGGCGGGCAGAGCCTTATCAATGACTACTAAATTTAGTAGTCTGTCCACCGGACTTTCAAAGTTCCAATTTAGACCACTTTAGTAGTAATTAACCTTATACATATAGGTAGTACGATATTAAATTACATAGATTCTCATTTTGACAATTTTAAGCTGATTTTGTCCATTGATGAATCTTGGTCAGATCAAACCAATCGATATTATTTCAAGTTATAAACCAGCATTACAAAGATATTATTAAACGAAATTATGACACGAACCTGTGCGTGATTAACAGTTCTCCATTGTAATGGATGATGATGTTGATTGTACAAAAGTCGTTTACACTACTTGGTTAACTGTGGGAACACATCTTTCTAGTTATAGGGTCTATATTAGTTAGTAATCTAGTAGACTCTGTTTCTTCTGTTAATCTATAAACCAATAACTGAAGGGTGTTACTGTAATTATAAACTACGGTATGATGAAAATCGGTTGATTTGTACCTGAAAGTGCAGATTTTGGGTAAATTTTAAGTGGTTTGTGAAAAAAATGTGGAAATAAAAACATACGCCTTATTTATTACAAGATAGATATTAGGGCCGTGAACCTTGCAAAGAAGGCACCTGCATTCGCATTCTGCAGAAGCGGTGAGTAGAAATTTGAAAGTGTGGGACGTTAGAAACTGGTTTGCCTTGAAGAGACGTGAATGACGACAAAATACGTAAGACTGGCGTGCGGCTAGTATAGTACTGTTAGTTGTAGTACGGTATTTGTATAGTTGTCAAGCGGTAGGGACGCCGTTTGGTATTTATAAATACATTTATACCAATAAGAAAATTGAACGAACAGTTACTATCTTCCACATAAATTCAAAAGGGGTGTTCTACAGAGTCTACATAACGGGTTTAAGTTTTGTGTTTGTAATGTTCTTTATCATGTAAATGGTTAGTGTGGTTTGCCTATGTTAAATTTTAACGCAAGAGAGGTGAAAAAATATACTTTTATGTGTAAAAATTTAAGTTACACCATGGTGCGAGTATGTTTTCTTCTTTTCCATCTTAATTCTACTTGTTATTCGACTAATGTGTAGTAAAATCAAACTTTTTCAACACGCAATTTCATAGGATGACAATTTTTAAACTGTCATAAAACCATGTCTTTATAAAAATAATTTAATGGGACTCATTAATTCAAGTTTTAATTTCATTTTCATTTTGCTCTACACAATCCGCAAAAAATTAAAAATACACAGTAGTTTCATTGCAATCCAATTTAACTTCGGAAAATCTCTAGTCTATTATTGGCGCGTTTATATCTCAAACACTTTTTTACCGTTATCAGCTGTTTTGCCATTGAAGGATGTTTCCATCAGGTCTTGGCTGGCCAGCAGCTCGCGGGTGTCAACTTTTGTCTTGCGGCCGAACACCATTCCAGGGCTGCCACCACCACTCTCTAACACAACACTACCCACTGTTACCACTACCACGGCACAAACACTACTGAAGACAAGACCAGGTAGTTCCAGCTTCCAGGTATAGATGCCGCCGTTGTCCTTAGTATCAATGGAGCTGTTTTTTGCCGCTCTAGGGAGAGTCAGTCTGCTGATATATTGTTTCTAACAAAGAGGGAATGGGGATTGGCAGTTGAAGAATAGACGGAATAGGAAACAGAATGATTCCTTGTAGCGAAAGAAAACTTTACAAAATGCTTACAAGTAATAAAATAGGCCCTACCCTGCTGCAGCAAACTCGGGGAATAATCGAATTTAATTTAATTGATTGGATTTTACTGAAGTATTTCTATATACGTATCAGGTACGTGCATTTCATATTACAAAGAGGTTTGCTGCACAGCCGACAGGGAAGGTTTAGTTACGAACGATTTTACCTGGTAAATTCTTTTAAGTGAATAACCAATATTCTTATTACCTATATTTTTGATTTAGATTTTGTTCTTAATTTGATAGTTTTCTAGATAACTTATGTTAAAGAAATTGATTTGAAGAATTGCTGTTTATTGTTGTACCTAGTAAATATTTTGTTTGTTGAAGTATGGGTACGTTAAACTAACTTTTCTAAACAACAAGGATGAGGCCTCTCTATTTCGGTAAAAGAGCTACACAAGGCATCTCCATTAGAGCACATTGTACTAATATGTGTATTTTAGTTTGCATCCGCCATCTCAGCTATCAAGGGAATCAAATTTATATGTGTAGTTTAATCTTTTAAGTGCCTTATATATACTACAAAATACCTCTACTATTTCCATGATCATACCATAGATAAAACATACTCCCTTGTTTAATCCATGATTATACTCCCTTAATCGTTTATTCATCTTCTCTTCCTCCCTTCACAGTTATCTACGATGATTTATCTTTGTTTCCTGGATAAATTTCATGCTCCGGAGGAGAAAATATATTACTTCTTCCTTAATAATCCCAGTTAAACCATGTCCTCTTTCAAGTCACCTGTGCACTAAAAGACCACCTACCAAGGTTTACTATATTATATTACCATAATACCATAATAGAGGAGAATACATTTCATCCTACAGACAAAGTTACTTTACTACTTCCACATTTACTTAGTTGTAGTAAATATTCACCTCCTACCTTATTTATAAAAAGATCATCTAGCGTACAATTTTTATCTTCTGGATTGGATACATTTCATGCTCCACAAAATGAAAATGCCACTACCTTAGACAACAGAAACCCGTGCGCCCATCTGTCTCCCATAATTTCACTTATTTACTGAAATATCAGTTAATAATATTTATCATGTCAATAGCCTAGGCCTTTATTCAATCTCACACTAGGGACAATATTACTATGCTATTTCTAGAATGGTATCCTTAATTGTGGATACACGTTCCCTTATAAAAGACGTTCCCTTTTTTTACCAAAAGACGATTTACTTTTGTTTATGACAATTTCTTGGGTACATTTAGCATAAGGCCCTGCTAACTAAACCAATACAATACATTTTGATATGACGTAATTTTGCATATACATAAATCTGGCATAGTTAATTTAAATTTTAAATGTCTTTAAATAACAGTAATAAATACTAGGCCTACAAAAGCAATAGTATAAAAGAAATAGGATCTGGGTTGAATAATACGTATGTCCTCTTTCTGATATGAACAGCGATTGCAGTACACAAAATTCTTTTTATTGTATACCATCTTTAATATTTGGAAACAAGCCGTATAAATTCCCTAAAAGTCTTGTAGCTTATTCCATTATACCACCTGTACAGGGTATCGACTGGTGACGTCATACTTGCGTGCTCGTTATCAGACACGTGTTTGCTATCAGTGTTGCCAACTTTGACTAGAATCCGCTAATTTCCCTTTAAGTAATCTTGTGGTAATTTAATCGTTTAATTTATAAATTGATTGACTAACTAACATTAAAATTTAAAATTTAGTAATAACGAATTCGCGATTCGAAAGTGCTGTAGTTTGAAACTAACATGTGTTTTAAGACATAACCTAGAAAGTACATGATTAGGAAAACGTTAATTTAAGTCAACATTTGGTTTAACATTGAGATATTTTTCTCCCAGATATAGAAAGATTTCTCTCGTCTGAGAGAATCGCCGTTTAAAATATATAGTTCCCCTGATAACGCTTTAGATTATCTTTTATTAACGGGCACAGTAAATAATACCGAATGCTCTGTTTTAATTATTTTTCGCAACTAATAATAAATGTTATATAGCCTATCTCAACAATTCTTTAACAATCAAATGTGTACCGGTATGTACAACTATGAATATAGAACTTATGTACCATATATTAGCCGTTATATAGTGAACCCTAGTTTAGTTATCATCATAATCGTTAAATGTAAACAAACGTCCAAAACGCGTTTATCCTATTTACACCGTACTCACCAAGACCGCTTTTGAAAGTGCCGTTCGAATTCGACAGCCTTCTCGAAATCGGCTTGAGCACGCTTCCACAGCCGCACAGGTTGTTCGGCAATCCCTCACTTCTCTTCATGACGAGACACAAGACACAAGGCACGTTGAAGGCAATATGACGGATAGGTTACTTACAGACAGCTGTGAGCTATTGCTTCCACCTACCTAGTGCGCATACCCAGGCCCATGTCCATCGATTGGCCGACCTCTGCAATTGCAACTCTCCGTTTACGCGTTTAAACTTGACAGAATACGGAATAACGGGTGTGTTGCTCAATCAAATCAATGGTTATCGTGTTCGATCACAGCCAGTGGACTATTAATGGTCCTTGGTTTGTGGTTGGGCTTAAACAGGAGAGGAAAAGGTTAAGATTCCCGGCGGCGGCGGCGTATCCACATTGGCAGGTTTTCCAGAAGATTTTTCAGAATTTCCTCATAAGGAAGAAGCTATTGCCGTAGGCATGGAAATACCTAGCCCCGGGACTGGTTTACTTTTTAATTTTAGTGTCCCCAGAGGTGAAAACACTATTTGAAATTGTTATGAAACCCCATGCATACAGGTTACAGGGTGTTCAAAAAGGTGGGAACCCGATTTACGTGCTGATTTCTTGGATCAAAATAAGCAAAAAGTTAATAAACATGTCCTATCTCGGTCCATTCAGCGTCTGTCTGTTAAAACTGTTTTGAAATGGGGACTATTTTAGTATTTTATACCAAATTCAACAAAAAACAATTAATTTGGTAAAACATACAAGTAACATAAAATTTACTTAGTTTTTGAAATATTATATCCTTGCAACTTCAGTACCTAAAAGTCAATAGTGATGATGACTAGCTCTGTCATAGCCAGATTAGGCTTAAACAAGAACTATTTATTTGAAGCCTGATCAAGAACAGCTGGGTTCAGTTTCAAACCAAATAGCTAACTGAATCTAATTATTGAACCAGCAGCGTCCCTACTAATATTGTTAGGAGACCTACATAGGATCGTCAGTATTGTTTTGTTTGGTAGGATAGTCACCGTAGGATGTCGAATACAATTTCCGTCCAGGAGAGCTGTGATAAGCAGGTTGTCTGTATCGTCCACATGGCACTTATCACTGAGGCACCGCAATATTTAAAGGAAAAACTGAAAGCGAGGTCGGCCGTGAGAGAGCGCAGAACTAGACAGGACTTGTTGCTTGACATACCAAGGGTTGTTCTTGATGCTGGTAGAAGGGGGTTTTCTTACTTCGGGCCGGCTCAGTACAATGCACTTCCTTGTAATCTAAAAGCACTGTCTTACAAAAAATTTAAAACTACCCTGAAGAATTTATAATTTAATTTTAATTTTGTTTTGTAGTGTTAAGAATTTTTGTTTAGTTTTAGTCCTGACCTGAGTCAATTTGTAAAACAGTATTGTTACTGAAATTAAATTCACTCATGAATAAAGACCTTATTTATTTATTTATAGTACGGTTTTCTGCAGTAGATGTAAACGCTGTACTCTCTTCTGCGCTCTAAATCAGTTGTGAAACAGAAACTATGAATTAGTTTCAAATAAAAACTGTCGGCAACAACGGTACAATTTGTGCAGTAAGGAGTATCAATGAAATAAATATAATAGGTATTTAAAATACTTTATTCAACAAACAAAAATGTACGTGAATACAAGCAATGCAATATATTTCTACAGTACAAAATATCACTCATGTTTATGCTTATATTTATACCAAACTGACAAATCAATAAAGCACATTCATATTATTGCTAAAATTCCAAATCATCTTTGCAAATAAATGTGAACCAAATGGAGTCAACCAGAATGAAATTTATAAAATCATTATCTTTTATTATTATAAGAAAATATTATTTAATTTTAAACGATATAGCAAATTTATTAGATAGAATAAGAGTTATTTTTTAAATTTTGACTATACTTAGAGATTAGAGTTAAGAAAGTTCTAAAACCAAAATTTACCTGGACAAAAAACTGGGATTTCATTATTTACGAGTAATACTCTAAATATGAGAAAAAATTCCAAGAATAAATTAAATGGGCTTTAAGAATTGCTTATTTTGAAATAAACGAAGGAAAAAGCCTTCAAACTTCCTTCCCATGGTGTTATGTATTTTATTAAATCTTTTACTCTTAAGATAAGCCACTTATTGAAAAATTCAAACAAATATTTTATTGTCTTGTAAAACATTATCAATCTTGGCTGAAGGTTTGAAAACTGAAACCATTCTGGAAAAAGTAAAAATCATTTTACGCTGAAACTTGGCAGAAAATTCACAAAGAAATGCCTTAAGATCTCAAATACAACTATTGTTTAGCTCTTAAAGCAAACAGTTAAGTTAGTACAAGGATTCACAGGTACAGTGAGGAATCCTATAGGAAATGTGTATTAGTGATAGCTTAGAAATACGATACAACACCTATAGTTGGTTACTCATGTTCAAAACAGTTAATGGTAGTTAAATATGATATGTAGCTTTTAAACACATGCTGAAAAATATAAATTACAAAAAAAGGTGGTAACTTCTTCAAATCTTCCGGATAGAAAAGGGAAATAGTTATTTGAGTAACTAGTGTGCGAAGTGGCACTTTGCTGCACATGAGAGAAAGGTTTACGCACAAGCCACAGGCGAGTGTGGAAGGTTTCTCGAGGGCAGCAAAGGCACTTTGCGCTCGTGTTACACATTATATTTCTTCTACAGTTACTATAAAGCATAAAATTAATTAGTCCTTCAAACACTTAACAAGGTTAGGTTAAATTCAAGCTTTGAACAAAATGGGAAACACTGGGACAGCTGATCGTAGTTGAAGTATCTTTTACATGTTCTCAAGTTATTTTAACAAGCGTACACATATTACATGCCTAATAAAGCACACGGTTTTGTGTTTTTTGGTTGGAATACTGGAGTGCGGCAAAAGTAAATGCAGCAATTAGCTACTTTATGTGTCAGTACAAGAAAGCCCACTTTTGTCAGGTAACTGTAGGGAAAAAATCACTGTCCAGTTTTTAAATTGTTACATTTTGGTTGGAATAAAACAAACCCTGTATGGATGGAAAAAGGAAACCTGTAAAGGTGTTGACATGTTAAGCAGCACCTCGTTTACAGTTCGTTTAAGAGGTGCAGAAATATTTATAACCATTAGTTCATAAGCAAATACAACTTTTACAAGTGGTACATAGTTGGTAATAAAGAAACCACCGGTATTAATAATGAAAATAGAGATTATCTAGGTTCACAGACGGTTAGAACAGTACAACACCATAGAGAAAGATTTTAAAGATCAACAATACAACACTTAGTCAGCACTTGAACATGTTTAAGACACAACATATTTTAGGAATTGACTATTTTATAGGCTACTTGATACTACACAACATCAATATATTATCACAAATATTACAATATCATACTCTGGGAAATTAATAGATTCTATCTCCAAGCTAGAGAAAATGTAATGCTTAACATCTAGGCAAACACCTTTTGATATATAATAATTGACTTAAACATCAGATAATGGTCCAGAATAAATGCACTGGGTGTTGAGTCTATTCAAAAAATCAACATATCTTTTGTGTGTATAGGATAGAAAATATTTAACATCTTAATGGCGTATTATGTACATTATAGAATTCTTGATAAATGAGAAACTGTGCGAAAAACTTGTATATTTAATAAATATGTAAATACCTTTTAAAATAATTGTTTTTCCAAGAGTGACTTACCATTATTCTATGGTTTGGATGAAAAACTATTAACCTCTCTCCCCCAAATAACTATTAACCTCTCTCCTCCCAAATAACTACCAACCTCTCCCTCCCCCCAAATAACTAACAATTTCTCTCTTCCGAAAAACCATCACTTCCCTGCCCCGAATAACTACCAACCTCACTCCCCCCAAATAGCTACTAACCTGAAACCAACCAACGTGAAAACATCCAAGCGATAGATCGAAGACCTGTATAGGGGAATCCACTATAGCATCTGTATCTTTGTCACAATTAAACTTTGAAGTGTTTCAACTATTAAAAAAAATGTTATCACCCAACTATTTAAGTATTGTGGTAGATCTTCTTTTAAATACATATTGTGGTATACACTCCCGATGCAACTATTTTAAAAACCAAGCAACATTTGACTCTGAACATACCTCTCCAAAATTTATCATCAGTCAACACTCATAACTCCATGATCTAGATTTCAGAGTGTGAATGCCTTGCGGTTTGCTTGTGATGCGCCATGGGCCCAAGAGATTATTGTGCCCCTTAAATGTTTCTTTTTCTTACTCCCCAAGCAAACCTAAAACCTCTTGCATCCCTGGGTCGATCCATTTTCACCATTTATAAAAGCGACCCGAGTGTGATGATACCTCTGAAACCTTGTATGGGGTAGGATCCATAACAGGTGCTGCAAGGAGTAACAAATCGGGGGTTACCGTTACAAATCAATAGACTATAAATGTCAACACCAGAAATCTCATTGATAGTAATGGGAGCAAACTAAGTTAAAATTATAAAGGTAAACAATAGTGAATAAATAAACATAAAAGATGTTAAAAGAAAATTATATTTGTAAAAGATAAAGAAATGAACAAAATTAAACAATACAAAATAGAACAAATCAACCTAATAATACAAATAAGTAGATATAAGTACGAATAAGTAGATAATATCAACATTGAATATGTACACTACTGCTTAGTATAGAACTCATTGAATAGGGAAATATAAGGACGGAAAAAGTGTCATTTAAACTGTCATAGTCATGATATTAGCGTAAAAATTAATTATTGGAACCAGCTGATTCGAACCAATCAAACTAAACATTCTTATCATTGTGTTATTGTTTCAATTGGACCTTTTTTACATAGAACAATTAATTAGAGATGTTGCTAAATTTTGTGACAAAAAATACCTTAGCTATGACAAACGGGCAGAAATGTCATTGGTCCATTTTCCTGTAGTCTACTTTAGTTTGCAAACATGACCCAGTCCATTAAGCTTTCTAATTCACTAATGAGTTGTTCTACCTAAGTAATGTATATAATCAATTATTTATTATTTAAAATAAACAAACTATTAGCAAATAAAATCATTAGTTGGTAAGCATGTTATACATACATTTTGTTTAAGACAATGTGTAAACATGTTCTGCATCTGATGGATGTGTTAACTATTCGCTTAACATAAAAAACTCATGTTTTATCCTGACTAAGTAATCATAATTAATTGTTAATTCCAGAGTGATAATTGACTATACCAATATGTCTTTACAATCATAACATGTTATAAACTATAAGAAAAAATTTATAATGAGATATAATTACAAAATACTACTTTCAAACAGTATATATTTGATTTATATTTAAACCAACCAACTACTTGATATAAATTTCTCCAAATATAAACACATGTAGATATATATTTATTTAGTACACTTTAGTAGTAGGTACTAAATATACTTACTAAGAAACAAAATACTGTACACATATTGACGGGAGAATAAGATATTTCTTACCTCTTGTAATCTTCTCTAGTAACCAATTTCATAGTTTTTGATAGTTTATTTCAACTTATCCCAGTTTGAACACCTTTTAAACACAAAATTAGTATGTTCTGATTATTAATTTCTTATGTAGGCCTAACCAATTACAACTACCTAATGGAAGTAACGGAGAAATTATTTTGTTTGTTTAGTACTCAAGAAAACATTCTCAAATTGTAAATTATATATTCAGTATTTTTGAACTCATATATATATATATAAAATTTAAACATATGGAGTTTTTAGCCTCTGGGAACATCAAAATAAAAAAGTATATCGGTCCTGGGTCTAGGTCTTTCTGTGCCACCTACAGTAATAGCTTCTTCCCTATACAGAAATTTGCTATAACTATGTCAAAGTAACCAAACAAATGGATTTAAAAAAATATTTGGGTCTAGATTGTTGAAGTTCAACAAAATTATGTACAATGAACTCAATGCAAGTTTAGTGAGGTTGAAGAAGAATAAAGAAGGTAAGATTAAGATTGACCAAGTATAACAATTTAAAACTGAAAATTGAACCTTCCGACATACATAGAATGATAAACAACAATATCTTTGGTTCTGAAACATATGACAGCCATCATGAAAATCAAAGCGTGTAATAACAAATATCAATTAGTAATCAAACAAAAAAACCTTTGTAAACGAAGGTTTTTCGGTCGACAGTATTAATAAAGCTCAGAAAAATATAATTACAACAGATATAATACAAGAAAAATATACAGAATATTCAATACAACTTAAGATCTAGTTATAAATAAGCGTTAAAAAGGTAGTAATACGAAATAATGTTCTTGCACTTGAATCGCTCGCTAAGATTGAACTTTAAACTAAATAACAATACTGATTAGTCAGAACAAACATTATTTAATGTCTACAAAAGAGTTCACAACATCGGTTGAATTGGTCAAATTAAAATTCTTTCATTAGAAAAATTTGGTTTATTTTGCAACTGCCAAATAAATGAACAAAAAAGTATTAAATTTTTATGAAATAGATATAGAAGAAAAAAATACAGACATAAATTTTATCTAGTGGTGAGGGATCGGTCTAGAGCAGCCTAACAGTTTATAAAAATAAGTAGGAAGGTTTTTCATCCAACCAACAATTAAGCTCAAATAGTTTGCAAAACATTTAAATAAGATAAATTATGCTCTTCTCAAAGTTATGGTATGTTCATATTTTATCTGTGTTTATTAATATTTTGTTATCGTTGAATTATTGTTTTGTTCTCAGAGTGAAATATAATACTGATAACAACTTACAGTATAAGAACATGGAGGATCACCTAAAGAGAGTTTTAAGGTAGGTTTTAGTATCTAAAGTCAGTGATGATTCACACAGAAAACTTACTATAGTTCGGCCGCTTAGAAAGCGACCTCCTCCAGCATTGGTTTAGCATTAGCGCGCAGGTCGTTTTCTAAGCGGCCGAACTATAATCAAATTGTACACTATGTTCACTGATCCAGTGCAGCAAAAAGTGCAAGAACTCTATTGGCTAAATAAAAACATTTGTTTCAAAATCAATCATGTAATGTCTTTTGTTTTGGTTAAATATAAAAAACCGTAAATATCAGATTTGATCCGTTATTGTAATTTAACTAATTGCATAACACTCATAACATATTAGTAGCATAACAACAAAAATAAACAACAAAACTTGTAACAATGTTAACCTAGAAGAAATGCTGTGATGGTAAGCGAGAAAAACAAAACATATTACCAAATAAGAACTGAATGGCAAAAGCTTACGAACTGAGAATCTTTTAAGCAACATAAATGCATTTAGGCGATTAAAGTTTGTGATTATTTATTAGAAACTATTACGTTTTACTTTGACATAACTTTGTGGCACTGTATAAGATTCATTAAAGGGATCCATTTAGAACAACTACACCCCTCTTCCACCCTTCGATTTGATCCAGAATTTACTATGACAATTAATTGTATGTTGTGTTTTTAAAACAGCCGGGCTTTGAAAGCATTTTTAACAAACTAACAGCAAACTTAATAATCTTGTAACTAGTTTTAATGTTACCGACAAAGTATGACTAGTCATTCAAAGAATGTCTGACTACTTTTCCTGAAACATTTACACTAAACTCCAGCAAAACTTCTTAAGTTCTGCCAACTTAATACCAACTTAACTGTTATACTTAGAAAACGTCCCATGTTGGGGGTAAATAATTTCCTGTTAACTTACCTATATTGTCAGGAAATAGCAAATACAAAAAAAAGTGACATAACCATTAAGTAGATAAGAAATCATAAAGGCCATACAGTCATTTTATTTTACAAATTATCAAACAACTTAGGAAATGGTAATCCCCACTTCTATACATAATTAATTGGAAATATACTGTAGTTATGTTAAACAAACATTACAACTAAATCAGCGGATTAGTGCAACCACACAAACTCAACCATACGCCCGTTTTTCGACCAGTATTGGTCTAGATTCCTTATTCTTATGTTGTTGGACAATGATGAGTAGGAAATGTGTTATGATGCTGGGTACTTTTCAGTTGTGAGGTTAGTCACTCTAGTACGCAGGTGAGGTGACAGTGCTGGTTGTCTTCTGGACGTGACGCTCGCCTTGTGCCAAGTCCCCACTTACCACTCCTTGGTACTTCAACCATGCATCATAGCCGTAGCACACCATGGCGCAGAATCCGAAAAACTGCAAATACAACCACTTAGTATTGTGCTAGCTCAATAGGTATTGTGCTACATCAGAAAATAGTTGCCAACATGTGTACATGAAAAAATTTGGTGGGTATTTTACATATGACCTAACTGTGCATGATTTAAAACCACAAATGACCAGTTAAATAAAAAGTAGACTTACAATGATGCAAAAAACATAATCGTTCTGAAAAGAAGTGCAGTCATCTAAGGATGACAGGGATGAATAAAGCTTGACGTCAAAAGCAGAGAAGAGATGTGACTTATTAAGTATCAGAGAGGTCATTTAGGAAGACGTTAAAGAACAAGGGACTTTCATCTTTTATATCAGTAATATTTTAATTAAATAAATACAGTCAGAAATAAATATCATCACTTGCTTGGCTTTGTGATAAATCAAGGATATTACAACAAAACGACACATATTTCAGTGAAACTGTGGCCAGTTTCAATTAATAGTTTTTGGGCACTTGCTCAGTAACGGGTCTGTAGTCGGCAATCGACTGTGCTGCTGTCGGTCAGGACACCGTCAAACTAGTACAAGGTCGGAATGCACGGCTTATTCGCAAGCTTTTAAAAAAATACAAAACATAATGTTAACTATTGAAAAAAATATATAATTTTTATCACTAAATACACTAATTAACATGCTCTTTAATATGGTGTCCCAACAATAATTGTTCATAGTGCCAGTCATTTTATATTTTAGGAGAAAGATTGCATTTCTTTATGGGAAATGTAAGAAATGAGATATTTTATATTCGGCTTATAATTAAAAAGTATGATTTTTATACTGTACAGTCTTAATTCTACATACATTTACAAAGTTATGAGAGTGTTGAAATAATTTTTGGAAAACAGATAGACCAGAAATCGAGGAATTATAATTATGCTCTCCATGTTAAAGTGACGGCCAGTGCCGGCAGCCGAGAATCTCTGGCCTCTTAAGGAAAGAATGGGTTTATGAGGTAACTCACCGCTGCGACTCCCAATGCTGCAGAAACGCTCATGAGGCCGGCGACCATGGTAGAGGCAATCAGGTAGAACACTGTCCATAAAGCACAGAACCCAAGCTCCTACACAAACACTTTTCTCATTAGCTTCATAATATTAGTATTAGACAACATTTATTATTACAAGGGAATATGGAAACGTAAGCAGATGTATTTTAACCCAAATATATGAATGAAGGATAAAATGGAATGAGATACCTGTGAATCTTTGTTAAGGATTAAGACTGGCTATTTCTTTGGCAGGACTATTTATTATAAGCCCAAAGACATATAACAAAGAAATTCTTAAGACAAACAAATTGAGGAAACCTGAATTAGATTTAGATTTAATAAATCTCCAAATGTAGGTCTACACATTAATTTACATTTTGTTTCTTTTCTAGCGTATTCTAAATATGATACAAAGTGTAATTTTAATTATTTCCCTACTTTTAAATTCATAGAAATATTATTGTTAACTCAGTTAAAGTTAATAACACAACTCATACTTACTATTTTGAGCCATGGAATGTTGAAGAACTTTTCAACTATGTGAAACAGATAGAAGGCCAGTAATATCCCACTGAACCAGAACGCAAAACCTGCGATCGAGTCAAAGAAGCTGGCTTGAGAGTAGACTGCAGTGCCTGATATCGCAATTGTCATGAACCCAAGGAAATTTAGGGCCTGAGGAAAGTAAGTTAATGGTAATTAAATAATATTAAGAACTAGACCCTAGGTTACTTCTTAGCCAAAATCATATTAAATATTCAGACAATTTACTAATTAGAAAACTATAAAAAAAAAAACTATTCAACAACCGGAATGATGCTGCTGATTTAAATTAAACTTTAACAAAACATCCCATTATTATTTACTCTTTACAGGTTATCTGTTGCTTAACAATTTACCCTCCAACATTTACCCTGCTTACCTACCCTCCAATTAAAAAAAATAATTAAAAAGAAAATACTTAAAAAAAATATAGAACCATGACCAGCGATATTATTAATCTAAACAAATCAGTTTTCCATATCAATAGAAAAACAAATGAATTTTCTTAATCATAAAGCAATAAAAAGTATCAACATGTCCATTTAAACTATAGGCTACAATATAGTGTTTATCGATTACCATATTCAAAGCCTGATCATCACAAAAATTGGTTAACCATTATATTGTAAGTTCATCGAGCGACCACAGCTGAAGTGTTTCCTTACGTGAATAAATTAACTCTTCTGCTACTTGACCATGTGCACCATTCTCACTCAGTTAACTTACCTATAGGCATTTCTCAAAGACAGTTTGTTATTACTATATTCTATTAACCCTCCCACGGTTCACTATTTTGACCCTCAGGGTTCACCAGTTTTTGGCGGTTTTGCGGACTTTAAAAGAAAAATTCATGTCATACATAAAAATCATAGTAACTATAACATATTATATATCATTTTACTCTAAATTAAGTTATCTATAATAAAAAAAATAAATAAACCTATTTACCTTGGATTGGTTGAGTGTATCCTTTGTAGATGCAGAAAAATAAAAAATAAAAAAATCACTGACATAGTTTGCTCCCCCACAAATCACAACTGGTTGCAACCAATAAAAAAATTCAAAATAGCCATTTTGTTCACAAGTTTATGAGGAAAAAGAAAATATATAGTTTTACACACTAAAATAAAAAAGTACACTGTCATATATACAAAAAAGAACACAACTACGCACAAGGAGCTTAGTCGGAGTCGGGGTCATCTGCAACCAGAGTTCTCTTCACCCCTCTTTTGGGCCTCCAATAATGTTGCAGTTGGTGGAAGCACTCCCTGTGGATGCCAGCATTACAACCAGGGCACCAAAAGCTTGACCTTCCTCTACCACATGATACACACTTCCGTTCTTGTTTCCGTGGTAAGTGTTCAAGGCGGTGGGGATTGTCACCTCCAGGTCCAGGTCCAGGTCCAGGCTGCACAACTTGTTCATTTCCTGCATCTGCAAGAGACTCCAACACAGAAATATGAAACTCCCTCCTGCTCTTTGGTTTGTCACTGTTCAGCTTATATAATACATACGCATTGAACAGGGCAAGATCAATCAAGTTGAAGAATATCTTCTTCCAGTATTTGCTGGTTTGTCGGTTTATTGATAAGGCATACACACACTTATCACTCACATCCACTCCACCCATATTTTGATTGTAATTGTGGATGAGCAAGGGCTTCCTTCCAACTAACCCCTTCTTGCTTCTTACAATTCCGTCTTCAGCATGATAACCGGTTGAGATGACTAGGACTGGTTTCCGAGTTGTCTTTTGTCTGTAGCCGACCAATAACAATCTCCCCTTGCGAAAGTAAACAGTTTCCCTCTCACCAAGTTTAGTTTTCTTTACAGTTTTTGACAAAAATTTGGATTTCTTATTTATAGTACCAGTAATAAATGTACTACGTTCGAGCAAACGTTCAGCAAGCGGAATTTTAGTATAGAAATTATCCGTGTACAGATGGTGACCTTTGTCCAATAGGTTGCCTTTTGTCATCATCTCCATCACCACTCGTTCAGTGAACAGTTCATCAGAATTTTCAGGATCTGCAGGTAGGTAGTCTTTGCCACTATATATTTCAATATGTAATACATAGCTTGTATTACTGTCGCATACTTCGAACTTTTTTATACCATACTGCTTATGCTTCTTATTGGGTAGGTATTGTATGAAGGCGCAGCGATTCTTCATACCTATAAGACTTTCGTCTATACAAACATCTTGCGAAGCAAAAAAGTGTCTCTTGAATCTTGAATTTACATGGTCTAAGAGCCATCTCACTTTCAACCACGGATCATAGTTTGGGTTGTCTCTAGGAACATCTCGAGCTGAGGTCATGTGCAAAAAAGAACTTATCAGGGCAAAGCGGTTCACTGTCATTTGCTTGCCATAAAATGGACAGCATTGTGAGCTCCTTGTGTCCCAGTAGTGTCTGACATTATTTTTCACTGTTAGGCCCATGTTTATTAGAATTGCAAAGAATTTTTTCATTTCGATAACAGTGACATTTGTCCATTTTCTAAAACGTGATTTTGGGCTCAGGGTATCACGCTTTGCAGCGATAACTCTTTCAGCATAAGAGTTAGTTTCTCTGGCTAACAATTGCCAAAAAGGAGCGGTCAAAAATAGGGAAAGGTAATCTAGTGGAGGACTATTTCTGGGAGGTAAGTCCTTAGGCCCTGTTTGCCTTGCTCTAAACTCAGTTCTTACGTCAATTTCTGGTTCGGGAGGGTAGACCCTAACCCATGGATCTCGAGTAACAATTTGAGGTTCTGGGGTAGGCCTACCTGGTTCATTTGTCGGTTGTTCAACAGTGAAATCTTCTACTTCTGAAGTGTCTAATTCACTTGTATGAGGGCTGTAAAAATCGTCACTACCACTCGAGAAATCTAAAAGGTCAGAGTCAGAGTCGGGTTCAATGTAGTCGAGAATATCGGCATCAAAATCACTGTCAATTCCGATTTCAGGATCATCTGGATCATCGTTGTCACTTACTTCGCTTAAAGCACGTCGAATGTCACTACTATCCATCTTAAAATAGTTAAAATGCACAATAATAAAATAGTCTGCACATCAGAAGCACCAAGAACAGATGTAAACAAACATAACCAACAGCGTATCGGCGTAAACAACAACAAAGACTTTTAACGTAGTCAAAGTTGTTTGCATAGAGCAAGGCGTCTAAAGACAGACATCGGCGGAAAGCTTGTAATTTGGAGAGTACAACGATACTATATAAGTTGAAGTTTAGCAAATTATAACGCCGATTAGACGCTATTTTTAAAAGCTTGCCTACCGTCGATCGATCGACGGTGAACCGTCTACGACCGCGAACTCGCGTCGATGCATCGACGGTAAACCGCGGGAGGGTTAATGAGAAAATATGTTGTGTAAACAACTAAACATTACAGGTGAGAAAGAAATAGGAAATATACTAGGCTAACCAAGTTCTAGTTGTTACCTACTATAATTCTTGTATCATTTTTTCAATTTATATGTGTTCCCTAGATGCAATTCACTTCTGCTCTCCTAAAGTTCAAGACAGAACTAACTTAACTTGCAGGTTTAAATATTTGACATCTTGGAAGGAATAAACTTAGAAGAACTAACTGAGAAGCATAGGACCTGAAGTCAGGTTTGATGACCAACAGTTATAACACGTTTTGAAACCTTACTTACAACTTGGGCAACTTTCAGCATCCCCGGCAATGTTCGAAGGTACAGAGGATCATAACGGATGTCTGTCTGCACAGTTGTACTCGTTGCAGTCATGGTTGTTGTTGTAGTATGCTGACCCGGAAAACCTTGGTCTGCCATGGTTGTTCCTGGATTTAGAACCGAACATAGCTTTTATGATCTATTACAACTTAGGTTATCAATGACTTGTGATCATTATACCCTAAACCAGTCAATCGTAATAGGTAATAGGCCTACTTAACATTTACCGTACCTAAATGTTACTTAAAATAACTTATGTAGGTACTAACTTAAATTATCACACAAATTTGTAATTATAAGCTTATATAACTTATATAGGTAGGGCCTATCTTGGCTAAGTTAGGTAAAAAGTTCAGCCTGATTTAAAAGTTACCTATATAAGATTTTAGCTATAATTTGAGCATAATGCCTGTTCTACCTCTGTAACTTACATATTTTAGTAAGAGTAGGCCAACCTTATGGGCCAACAGGCAATTGTGTTTAAAGTGCATGGTAAGTTAAGTAACAGTGTGATTGAGTTCATCTCGAAACGAATCCATTTTATGAATCTGTAGAATTTTATGATGCTCTGAAGGCTGGCCATTGTTTTAATTTGTAATTTTTATCTATGTATGGCCTACTCAGGTATGTGCCACAATTTCATTTTTTTGTTTTTTTCCCATAACTGCATGGTTTGCCGCTTTGTTTGCTGTGTGAACAGTTAAGCTGTGTTAAACAGTTTCAGCATGGTTTGCAATGGTTAACATTTAATTTATATAGGCTACATAATTTGGGTTTGATTTATATATACCTAGCATAGTTTTGACGTTACCGGTACATACCTATTGTATTTTATTACTGAATGGGATAGTAAATCTCTTGAATATCTCTTTAATCTTAACCATAGAGGACGGTTTACATACGTATGCCGGCCTCGTAAAAACCTCACATCTCTTTCTATCAGAGAATTTATCAGGCCTCGACATACCTATGAGGATGAACTAAGTGATCACAAAAGAAATCATAGGGTAACTTAAGTTAGGCAACCTACTGTGTTTGGGCTTTGACTATTAACCCTAGCAGTGGCCAATGTTAGAAGTGGGGAATGGCCAACCCATTTTGGCGATTTTGCAGATCTTTTTTTGAAAATTCGTAAAAATTCAACCGTACAAGTAAACCTAGCCAACCTCATATTCATTTTGTTCGGAAAGAACAGGAGAATCTAGAAATAGTAATATCATAATGATTTAGATAGTGTATTTTATCGGTAAAGTGAAAAAAATAAAAAAAATTGAATTTTTTTTGGAAATTTCAAAAGCGGCCTTGGTATTTTTTTTTCTACGGATTTTTTTATGGGAAATTCATTATATACATTTTGTAGACAATCTAATTCCCTACATAGAAATATATAACATGTTAGGAAAATATATTTTTTTATAAGTTTTTGGGGCGAAATATAATGACAAACGGAGAACCGAAAAAAATGAAAACCGTACAGTGTTAGTTTATGTTGTAAAAAGTTCTATAATATATGTGTATACTAATAATGATATATACATGTTTGTAAAGCTAATGAAGTAAGGAATCAAAAAAAGTCATAAGGTTTATGATAAGAATAACTTTTTACCTATAAACATACGTATATAAAATAATGTTTTTATATTTTAGCGATTTCTCGAGAAAAAAATTCACAGTACTTAGTATACAACTTTTGTACCAAATTTTTTTACTTCAAACCAACATAATAATCTTGTAGTGTATTCAATTACCTACATAAAAATGTATAACATGTTAGAAATATTTTTTTTTGTAGGTACGTAAGAGGGACATAATAATACAATAACCGCAAAACCGCAAATAAGTGTAAACTATAGCCTACAGTGTTTGCTTGTGTTGTGAAACATTATGTAGGCTGATGATATGTAGCCTACATATTTGTAAAGCTAATGAAATAAGGAATCCAAAAAAGTCATAAGTATGATGGTAAAAAGTTATTTTCACGTATGATTATGTATCAATTTGAGAACGTTTTGAATTTTTTGCGCATTCCGAGAAAATGGAGTGTACAGTATTTAGTAGGCCTAGCCTATATAATTTTTTTACCAAATTTTTTACACCCAAACCAATATAAACATGTTGTAGTGTATTCATTTACCTTTATAAAAATGTATAACACCTTGGGTAAATCATTATATAGCATATATAGCACCTCTGAATGTCAGAATTGCCATTTTTGGACATGATGCTAACAAAATACAGTAGTAGGCCTATTTAGTATAGGCTATAACTTTTTTACAAAATTGTTTACCCCCAAACCATTATAAACATGTTGTAGTGTATTCATTTACCTTTAGGCCTATAAAAATGTATAACACCTTGGGTATATCATTATATAGGTACAACAATCTCTGAATGTCAGAATCATCATTTTAGGACATGATGCTAACATAATACAACCTTTTATGAACACTATTTCACACAATTCAGTAATATTTATGCATGAAGATTACTGTTATACACACACACAACACTTCACTAACACTAACACTACGAACTAATAACATATTTAGTAATAATTCGCGGATAAAACTATTGCCGGCAACAACACAAACAAATAATGGCAATACAAGACAGCTGACAGACTGTAGCAGTAATGACTCACTTCCATCGTCTACATGCGAGCATACAGAAATAACCCTGAGTGCAGGGCTGCCACTCTCTGAATCTAAATTTCTTCCTCTTCAAAATGATATACTATATGACTAGTAATAATAAATTACACTGTATGTAATTCGTATTTTCCACATCGTCATCTGGAGTCGATTGGCCATTTGTTAAAAATGTCGAAAACAGCTGTTTTCATAAAATCGTACCGGTTGTGCAATCAATATTTCGTTATAAATATTACTACCACAATGAAGATAAAATCAATGGCTATCCGGTGGTACCACTCGCAACATCCCACGACTAAAATTACCCGAGCAGGGTAATGCCAAACAAGACGTGTTTTGCCAGTTCCCAAGTGTCGGCTGCAAAAGTCGTGCCGCGTCGAAAATTCATTTGATTTCTAATCGTCGTGACATTGTTATATACCCGCTACAGAGTTTGTTTATGTAATAAAATGAAAGTTCAGAATGTGATCTTTCGAATGGTATATATATTATTCTCATCTGAGTTGATTGTAAGTGTTTTTTTTTACCGCTAAAAAATTTTCGGCCCAGATCGTCACAAGGAGTCGTTGGCCATTCTAAGCATCAACGTCAGATCGTCACAAGGAGTCGATCGGCCACTGCTAGGGTTAAGTAATACAACTAGACATTCCGTTCCATCCCCATGCTTAATTTGTAAGTTAGCCAGGTTTTTATCAAAATTGTCGTAGTTGATGTGAGCCACCTACAGATTACGCTGATCTAAATTACTAAATTCTGTCTAGGCTAGTAGGCCTACTAAACTTTTTTACCGAGTCAAATTTAGGGAATGACTTATGGTGAGCTATAGCAACTGTTATGACTCGACAACCTGGTCAGCAACAAAAAATAAGGTATAAAATAGAATTTTAGACACTAGGGCATTCTGTGACTGGCTCACACAACTAAGTTACGTTATGATGGGATGTCTACTTCAGTATTCAATAGTCAATGGTTTGGTTTGGGGTGGCCGAGTAAGTTACAGAGACAAAAAAATAGTGATAAAAAGTTATTTCCTTCAATCCCTAGGCACAGTAGGCTAGTGGTAGGCTAATAAATCTGTAGAAGCAGAAGCCTCTACTGAATTTACTATATTTTGTATTGTCCATAACTTAATCGTTTAAATTGCAAGTAGGTGGGTGTCCTAATATTTTAAGTTGGCAAGTTATGCAATTTAAAATTTAAACTTATAGGCCTAGCCTAGAAATGCGTACTTTTTTAAAATTGAATTTTCTAGCGTTAATGTAGATTATTAATTTCTAAGGATGGGGAATGAGGGATTGCAAAATCATCATCGCTTAAAATAGGAACACAATACTACAGTAACACGCCTACTTAGGAGTGGGAGTGTCAACTTTCTTTCAAATATAAATGTACTAAACAAATAAGCTTTATTTGAGAGAACAGATTTCTTTAGTTATGCCTAATCTGATAAGAAATATATTTCATTTTACTAGGCTAAGATTAAATGTATTTTCTTACCTTATGGGGGTTTATTATTGATACAGAAAGAATCTCAAAATAAAAATATTTTGAGTAGAAACTTACAGACGACGTCCACAACGACAAGAAATACCCAATCAAACCACTTAACAACACTATTATCATAATTCATGAAACAACTTGACTCCAATCCACTACACTGCACATAATTTTATGGCCAACACTGTAGTATCATTGATTATATATAGTCATCATATCCCTTGGAGATGTATAACCAAGGTTAAATGGATGTAGGTAAAATGTGACTAACTTACTTCAGATTCGGCATACTAAAACACAAGTGACCCAACACAAGTAGACTTCCGACTTCCCATCCCATTGTCAAAATTTATAGCTCGGTTTTTATCTCTATTTCATATTGGTGACAATAATCACTAGTGTCAACGTATTTTTTCTATTATTTTAGACCTATTTTCATGATCCCAGAGGAACCCGATCCAGAGCTGTCTTCAGAAGGAGGTATCAGCCCACGAACTATACCCTTCACCACGGAATCTCCAGACTGCTGAGATTTAGCGAAGACGTCTGCCCACACTTGGATTTCTTTGGGCCATCACCAGCATCCTTCAGACGTGATGTCCAGAAGCTGCTCTACTGACACCTCTCCGCTCTCTATCAGTGTTGGTTATTTGGTGGTGCCTCTAAAGGGCCACATGCTGGGTGCCGGGAAGTGCTGATTCGTGTCAAGTGATGGGATTTGTGCTCTTGGAGTTGGTGGTGCCATTAGAGGGCCACACGCTCAACAGTGTTAGGTGATGAAATGTCTTGTTGTCAGCATTCTATCAAAAAGTTTTTCTCCCTCCGGATCCATCCTTTTGTTATATAGTTTTGTTTTTATGCTACGTTAGCTTTTTCACAGTTTATGTTGTTATCTATTGCCATAATCTATTATTGTTATGTATAGTAAATTTATTAATGTTAATTATTTACAATGTTGTCATTTTGATGATTACCGATTGTTATTTATGTTAATTATTCACACTTGTTGTTATTGTAGTTAATTATTTACACTGTTTCTTGTTATTGTTATTGATGTTTATTATTCACACTGTTTCTTGTTATTGTTATTGATGTTAATTATTTACACTGTTTCTTGTTATTGTTATTGATGTTAATTATTTACACTGTTTCTTGTTATTGTTATTGATGTTAATTATTTACACTGTTTCTTGTTATTGTTACTTTTTTCACAATGTTGTAACTGTTGCAATTTTACTCAAACTGTCCACCACCACCACCAAACTTTTTCTTACTCATTTATTGATGTTTTCTATTGTATTAATCTTAATTGTTGCATGTAAATCGTGTCAATGTATTATTTTGTAAAATGGCGATTGCCGTCGGAATAAATAAATAAAAAATAAAAATTATTGCTTTGTTGTTATTAGATTTCTCATCCTTATGGAACAGCTAAAGCGAATTGTATTGTTAGCAGTTCTGTCCTAGGAGGATTAATCCTCCTAGGTTCTGTCCGGTGATAAACTGAGGCGATCCATTCCAAAACTCACTTTATCAATTTTTTCGAAATTGAGTTATTGGTATCACTTATTACTGCATTCTGCAAAAAAGGCGCATTTATTTGTTATAAAATACCGTGTCAAAACTTGTGTAATCCTACTTTAATGTTAAAAAGTGTGTGTCATTTCCAAAACTCACTTTATTTCGGTTGTATCATTCGAAAACTCACACTTTGTAATCTAAAATCTCATCATCATGTCATTTCTTAGGCCCGTATTACACTATCATAGTTCTATGACATATATCTATTATCATAATCAATAATCAATCATTAAGATGGGGACGACACTTAGGTGCGTATTTTAACCCAAATATGAGCGAAGGATGAGTGTAGAATGGTGTGAGATGATCTGTGTAGCTTTGTTACTGACTAAGATCAGCTGTTTCATTAGCCAGGATCATTTATTTAAAGCCCAATGATCAGGAACAGCTGGGTCCAGTTTCGAACCATCAAAAAGCTACTGACTTTTCTCAGGATCGAACCGGCGACCTTTTGATTAGTAGGCGAGCACTATAACCACTCAGCTACCCAGCCAGTTATATGTCTTTTATGAAAATTATTACAGTGTAATGTACCAACTATTATAATGGTTTTGAACTATGATAATATGTTCTCCTTGAGAGAACATATTATCATATATTTGATAATATAATATGTCATAGAACTATGATAGTGTAATACCGGCCTTGTGCATCCATAAAATGTTTTCTTTTGTATCTGGTTGCATGTATGTCACTTTTCATGTATTATTTTGTATGATGGCGATTGCCGTTGAAATGAATAAATAAATAAATAATGTATTGATAAGTAATTGAGTTTGCTAAGTTTCATGCTTTTATATAAGTTTACCCAGATATATTTTTTTTGTTAGCCTGCCTTCGGTAAAGTCGGTATCGTCGGTATATTGTAGTCTGCTGCTTTACGTACGTTTATGTTATTGTTTTTCTCATTTCCTTTTCATTGCATTCAGCAGACAGTTGACAGTTGACAATGACAGCTGATTCGGATTGAAAGATTATGAGGATATGACAATTTGACGTAATTTTATCATTACACCTTTTATTTTGTGGTTATTTGTATCAAATTTAATTAAACTAAAACTACAAACTAGGACTCGTAACTGGGCGGTCGGCACAACACTTGACCGGTGTCGGTCAGAAATCACAACATCGATGATAGGCTTATTGTAGGCCCTACCCACAGTTTTTTCATTAGGCCGCCTACTTGTAGGGTAGGCCTAAGCTTAGTTTATACTACTGTTGATAACACAATTTGGGCCTTAGGACAAGTTGTTGCTTTTGGCATGTTTATGACAACAACGTAAATCGACAACTGCCTAATAATATTTACCCAGGCCTTACTGAATAGTCCTAAGGAGTTGTAGCTCATGATGGATAAGAGCAGGTGAGTACAACACGTATTTGTCGTTGGAATGTCGTGTCCCTCATTATAACAAAAGGAAATTCAATTTGGGTACAGTTTCAACTGGGCTACGCTAATACAGTATGACTGATGAAACTATCAAATTGAAAATATCGATTAATAGGGTAACCGATTTTTATCTAGCCTAGGCTAAGTATAATAAATTATAAAATTAACTGTCATAGACCTAGCCTAAGTTAACTAACCAAACTTGCTGATAATGAAAAATCAAATGAAGATTTACTAATCGAATCGATAGTTTCAATTGATATTAGCAAAGACCAGTTAAGAAACTGTAGCAGGTTAGGGGATGACAGTTTAATTTTATAACCTAATTCACATAGGCCTAGGCCTAGTTAAAAATATGAATTCTAGGCCTACATAGTCTAGGTTAAGTTAAGTACCGTAGTCAATTGATGTTTTCAATCGATTGTTTAAATCGATATTAAGTTAGCGTAGGCCTAGCCCAGTTAAGAAACTGTATGGTACAGTTGGATTTTTTTAGCTAGAAGTGGTTAAGGTGTGGTGGAATATCTTTGAAGATGAACCTATTTGGCTGTAGTGCGATCATGTGTTCATGTGTGTCAAATTTTTAGGGTACTTAACTTAAATCAAAACAAACAATCTGGCATGTTGTCAATAATTAGGCGTTTACAGGCCTTTTTGAATACTTACTCATAATGTTCTCGCCAGACATTTCACTCATCTGTCGATGATATCCAATTTTAGCTTTCACACCTTAAGAACTTAAAAATCTAATTACAGCGCGCACTTCACAGTCGGCGGCAGTCTTAATTGGTGGCACCATTTTGAATGCTTGAAACCGGATGTAAACACGGCAGATTATTCTCGAATTTCCAGCTAGGTCTAACCAATAGATGCCCAAACACAGCGCAAATGTTGAAAATGCCAATCGCAGTGCAGGAACGGAGAAATTTAAAAACGGTACTTACTTAAAAAACATGTCTCGTAGATAGCCAAGAATAAATTGAGCACACACAAAAAGGAAAGATAAATACCCTCGCCTCAGAAAACCTGGAGACTAAGTGAATTTATAGTGTGATTAGATTTTCACTGAAATCTTTTAAAATAGCATTAGGTTTAACGAGTACCTAGGTTTGCTGCCAACTTACAGGGAGGGTTATAAAGTTGTTTTCTAGTAAAATATTATTCTTAAAAAGTTCTAGGCTATAAAAAAAAAATTTCAAAGTTTTATTAAAATATGCCCATAAATAAGTGGTACCGGTACTTAACAGTTTACGTATTTTCATAAGTAACATTTAATATCTGGAAAACTAATAGGCCTAGGCTTCTAAAATAATACTGTATTAAGTGTAGGCTAATAGTATGGGTTTTATAAAGTTTTTTTTTTTCACCTGTCAAAAACGTAGGCTATTGCTTATTTCTAGAGAAACTGCCTGTCAAAGCACCAATCAACTAACTTAGGCTAAGTTAGATGAAAGTTATAACTAACTTACCGGTACTAATGCTTAAATACTAATAATTGTATTTGCAAATTTCTTATTAGCAAATTTCCCTATAGGGAAGTAATTACCGTAGGTGACACGGTAACCCGGGATCCTTTATAGGGAAATGATATAGGTAGCCTACTTTTTCATTTTGATGTCCCTAGAGGCCAAAAACACTAGGTACATGTAGGCCTATATATATATACGTCCGTAAACGCAATAAATTGAGTAAATTTTGTCACATTTTGATGAAATTTGGGTTGAAGGTGTTAGGCGGGAAAAACCTGAGTTCGCTTACCAGCATATAATCGGACTATGAATGGGGTGTTATGGGGTAAAAATTGGTCGTTCTAATTTTTGACCCTCAAAACATAAGATTTTTCAATTTCTCTTTACACTATTTGAAAGAACTTAAAAACAAATGATTTAGTATATTGCAGTGTTTTGTGCGGTTATTAGTTACTGAGAAAATTGAATAAATTGCAAATGTAATATTCCCATGTTATTCGTATGTAGAATAAGTATACTGTTGTAGTTTGCTTGTTTATTGATATATTTTTATCAAACTTGGTAAATTTATTTATTTTATACTAAGCTATTCATATTTTACTAAAAAACTCACTTTATTACCCTCTCTGTAGCAGCAAACCTAGGTACTTATTAAACCTAAAGTGTTTTATATTATGTAGATTTACATAAAAATCCAATGTAGCATCTGGATACTGTACCGGTAAATGGAAATTTACTTAGTCTGCAGGTTTGCTGTGGCGGGGGTAGGCCTACTATATTAATCTTGGACGGTCTAGATGATTTTTTAAGAACAAGTATGCTTGTAACACCTAATATAACGGAGAATTATTATTCCAGGTTTTCACTTCTTCTTCTTGATCCAAACGAAATATTTTTTGAAGATTTGAGTGTATATTTTTACCAGTTTGATCAATATAATAGCACAGGAGAAAACTCTGGAAGGGAAAATCTTGGCAGACTCAGAATATGCTCAAAATCATTGGTGTTTGAACCCAAAGATGTTGTAAAGCCTTTAATAAAAATGAGATTTGAAAATTGTATGTCAATTGAAGAGTTGAAAGTGTCGGAAAAAGAAAGGTAAGTCTTTGAAGATCCATAGAATGTTAATCACAGTGGAACCTCAATAACATGATCACAGTGCCCTCTTCCATAACTGCAATAAACACTTGATATTTATATGCCAACCCTGTAAGAAGGACGGGTACTCTGCTAGTATTGCATAATATTTCACAGATGCTCAACCACATTGCTCTTCAAATAAACTTCATTAGAATTTCATGAATTGTTCAGTGAAATAGAATTTCTCATAATTTATTATGACGTAGTTGAGATGAGTAGGTAGTGATAAAATTTATGGGACATAACTACATTGGAAAGCTTTGTCTTCAGAGATCACATTACTTTTCTGATTTTTAAATAACGTTTAAGGATTTAAATCTTGTCCAACGCTATCACATGATCAATTTTACAACGATAATATTTTCTAATAATTAAAATTGAAATTCTATTTTAGTTTTGTTTTTGCTGTCCAAGGTGGTGGTTAGGGAAAGCGGTCCAAACCCATATAAATATCTGAAGGCCTATAACTAGTTCATATTGTGGCCGTGTTTTAGACTTTTAATTATTTTTAGTGTTTAAATAATTAAGATGTCCATTGACTTTGCTCTCTAATTAAGTTACCTTATATCTTCTTTCAGACTGACATCCTCCCATGTTAACAGTGGCATATGTGTGGATTGCAATCGCCACGTTGAAATGTTGGAGGGTAACGTAATAGCGCCCTACACTTTCAGAGACGTAAGAAAACATGTTATACATTCTTATAAATAAGAGCAGTACACTTAAGTTAACATAACGACAAACCTGGTTTATAAATCTTTTGCAAAAATTATTAATTCTTGTTGGCAAGTAGGGCCTATGCATCTGTTCATATTGTCCTTTGATTTCCATGTAACCTGATGGTAGATTGTTTTATTAAAAATACCAGCTGACCCGGCGAACTTCGTATCGCCTAAGTTATAGGTTTCCCCTAAGACAGACCGATGGAAAGAAAGTACTGTTACGTTTAATTTTCAAGATGATCTCGTTCGCATCGCTCAATCACGTCCTGGTTGAAGTTCGTTCGCTACGCTCACTCACCTTTGGGTTGGAGCTCGTTCGCTGCGCTCACTTGCCTTTATGTTGGAGCTCGTTCGCTACGCTAACTCGCCTCCAGGTTAGCTCGTTCGCTACGCTCACTCGCCTCTCGCTCAATCACGTCCTGGTTGAAGTTCGTTCGCTACGCTCACTCACCTTTGGGTTGGAGCTCGTTCGCTGCGCTCACTTGCCTTTAGGTTGGAGCTCGTTCGCTACGCTAACTCGCCTCCAGGTTAATAGTTTACGTCCGATTCGCATACCTACAGAATTTACACACCAAATTTCATAACGATCGGTGAAGTCGTTCCGGAGGAGTTTGCAGACAAACACTGTGACACAAGAATTTTATATATTAGATTTTTTATAAAACTGCAGACAGCAAAAAGTTTTTAGAAAACTACCCAATACTACCTGACAGCACTACACCTTATGGTGTCAAACAATATGTTTTGAACTGATGGTGCAATGTTTATAAATTTTGCACATGTGTACCCTACACAAATGAGATTATTTATACAAAGTGTGTATAAACGGGTCATTCCATGTGGCACTCAAACTGACCATCTTGGATTTTGATGAAATTTTGAATATTAGTAGTATTTTGAGTTATGAGTTTCTTTTTCATGCTGAATCTGAAAATGCAATCAGTTTAGTCAAACTTGATAAGGAAAATAAATAAATATTACCCCTCTTAGAGAATATTTTAGACACAACAAAACATGAATTTTACAATAATTTTAAAATAAGTATATAGCCTATATATATAATAAAACTATCAAATATATATATGTCATATAGGCCTATATCTTCGATTTTTTATATATACTTATTTAAAATTTTAAAATTGTAAAAACTAGCGTCAATATAAAATATTCTCAAGATCAAAATAAGATCTAAAAAATATTCAAGATCTAAAATATTTTCTAAGAGGAGTAGTATATGCCCTATTAAGTTAAACTAAACTGATTGCATTTTCAGATTCATCGTCAAAAAAAAAGAAAACAAAAACTAAGTAGACAGATACAAATTAAATGAAATTGGTGAAATTCAACTTTTATCATTAGTTTAATGAGTTGATTATTTTTTACAGGTTAGGAAGAAATTTATTTTTATTTTGAACTACGGCCACACAGAACAGTTCTTACGGCGAATAGGCCAACTTCATAGAGCGGCCAGCTTGCCTGCCTCGGAGCAGAACAACATGGTTTGTATTAAAGAGTTTGTCCTACTAGTTTGAACTAGTGGTTTATGGAAATTAGTGGTCCATTCTCAAAGATACTGTTTTGTCTTTCAGTAAGCATTTATGCTTGTATATTGATAACTGTTTGATATCATTGTCTTTGTTTGGTTGACTGGAGCTGGCGATTACTAAAACAGACAACTTTCATATCGGCGTGTAGAGAGTAGTTACAAACATAGCTAACAACATTATAACTGCTAAAACAGTCACTATCGAAACCACTGTAGGACACAATTACTTTAGATGGACTGATGGTTTTAATATAGGCTACCCATTTGAACACTGGGCTTTAAATAAATGGCTCTGGCTGATGAAACAGCTGAGTTTAGTCAAGACATCTCACTCCATTTATACACTCATCCTTCACTTTTTTCATATTTCACCCCTGTAAAATAGTCTTAAGAAAATATCATAATAATTATATATATATAATTATTGTATAAATTATTTGTGACGAATAAAGTTATTTTGATTGATTGATTGATGCTACCACTTATCAGGATTTGTATTCGTGGTGAAGATGAGTGTTGAATCTTGAATGTATCTGATGATAGCTTTACCATGATCAGCTGTTTCTTTTTGCAGGACCATTTGCCCAATCAAGGTCAGTTATGCCCAGTTTCAGACCATCAAAAAGTTACTGAATTTTCTCAGTATCAATCCTTATGATTATGATTCAACTATAATTTAAATATAAAAAAAAACTTATATGTTTTAAAGCTTTAAATCTATACTTTGTCCCTGTTGATCTACTTATTAATTACTTCAGCATTAAAATTTAAACTTTCAATATAGATTTTCTAATCCTGATTGTTGATGTAGTTGCAAGCTATAGAGACAGCCATGCAGGCAAGCAAGACGTTTGACCGGCTGTGGCTGCAGGACTTGTACGAACAAGTAGTGTTGGAGACAACAGCCAATAAGATCACTCCATTGGTGGTGAATCCTGGGATGGTGCTTCTGTCGTCCGCGACGCTCTACTTCCAATCTTACAACAACATAGAACCGGTAAGTAGACACCGTTGTTTTTTGAAGATAAATAGTATATAATTTTACCAATAAAATTTATAATAAGTCGACGTTTTCATAAGTGTAGGGTAAATTTTAAAGTGTTATACATTGTGTATGGTGATATTTTTAATGATAAAAAGTTGAGTTACTTAAGAGCAGGTTTTAGACAAAAAAGAGAAGAGCTTTTTCTAAATTCTTTTGTAACAGCCAATTTTCAAACATTAATGACAATGACAATGCATTATAGAGTTTTATAATTTTGGATCTAGGCCTAGTCATTAAGCAAAAAGTAATGTAAATTAATATAATTCTCTAAGGTCTTGGATAAAATGTGATTAGAAATGTACAAATTTGTACCAAGAGATAATACAGTCTATTTAATCATACCGATGCAAATCCTGTTACATTTATTGCTTGTATTTGTTACGATTATAATTAAGTTTTTTCCTTTTCACAGAATAATTTATTGAAAATAAACCTTCCAGATATACGGAGTGTTACAAAGAGAAGATTTATGCTTCAACATGTGGTAAATAGTAGTAAATTCTAGTATAATACTATAGTATTGTAATACTAACTTTACCCTGCAACCATTTCTAGTGACAAAAAATTGAACACGATTTTTTATTATTAAGTCAATAGGAATCTCACAAACTAAATTAAATTAATAACTTAGTATAGCATAAATGTGTAGCCTTGGGGAAAATAAATAGTTACAAATAAATTGACAAGATTGTATTTACAACACAAACAAAATGTATTTATTTAACAAAAGCAGCGCAAAACGGCATTGCCAGCTAATTATAACGTATGTAGTAGAGATGTAGTAGAGATGTAGTAGAGAACACTTTAATGACATACACTAAACCAACATATTTGCCTCTCCTCTAACACAACATAGAGAAAGACACATGTGGCAGTGTAGACGGCAGGGCGCGTCCAACACACGTCTGCTTTTCTTTATTAAACTCCTCATTAAAGTCCATAATATCAGTCCGTACTATTTCTGGAGGAAATCATAGATGTAATAACCTAGATTCCTGTTCGTTGAATGATGAGGTACATGAAAACTTACAGGATACATTGAAATACAAACTTCAAATTATATTGTATTTATAAGAGGCAGATTCTTGAGCTGCCTCAACAAATGTTTTTGCGTGTTGTGTTTGCATGGTTTTCCTTCCCTTAGAATAAGTAATTAATTTTATTTATTTACGGTGCCCATTGTATTAGAACAATGCCTCAGGGAAAATAAATGAATCATTCCCATTAGACAGTGCTCTTGGCTAAAGGAAAGAAAACACTTTTGGATTTCTTTTCAAAATCCTACCCTATCCTTTCAAAACAGTAATATTTAATTATTTGTATAAAGAGTTTAGTAATTTTACATTTAACTTCCTTTAAAGAATGAAGTGTTTATTAACTGAAAACATAAAATAAATAAATAAATAACATGCAATAATGGTATTATTCTGTTATAGCGTAAATATCAGGTATTTTCTGTTATATACACCACACCAGCAAAGTGTAATGTATTTAGGTATACATATACAATAATATAGGTATAGATACTAAGTCTAGATATTAAAAAAAGATCATGTATGGCTTTTAGTAGAGGGAGATCACCATTGAATTAATTTTAATCGACACTATGACATACGCTGTATTTTATTGTGGCTTAGCTATGAACGTTTTTCAATAATGATGTCACATGGTGAGTGGTGGAAAGGCCCTCCTGAAATACTCCCACCACTGGATTATTTGTGAGGAATCTCGGTGGACTAGCGTTTCCTGCGTAAATATATCGCTGGATGTGCGTGCACACACCTTCTTTTATACGCCTTGGGGGGACAGAGCCTTGGCTGAATTTCTTATAAAAATATTCTTCAGTACGAATGTATAACCTGTAAAGGATTTGTGTTTTCGAATGACTTCGAATCAACAATGACTTTGAAAAATAGTGTTCACAAATTTACTTTGTTGATTTATATACACACACAAAAAAAATTAAACCGAGCAGTCAAAGATGAACAAAAAATTTAATCCTTCTTTTAAATAAACATTTCCCCGTTAACTTTGTAGTTAAAGATGATTGTCTTATTTTACATCAACTGTTTAATCAATCATATAAAAAATATTGAAAAAAATAATTCTTAACTTAAATATGTTTATGATTTAGAAAGTTTACTGCTAGGTAAGACAAATATAGAACCGTGTCATTCTGTTTGCTTAGCGGTAGATTACCCATTATCATGCAGAGAACGATACGTGGTTATCTTGTTGCATACTGATCAAATGACTCATGAGGTGTGAAACAGCTTTTCTTGGTGCTGTGAGTCATGTTATTTCAAGAGCTCTTGTTCCATAGTCTAAACATGTGGCATAACACAATTGTAACTTATTCTTATTTAGTTTGAGCTCAAATTTAAGATATTTAATTTTGGTTTAATTTTGGGTCACGTTAAGTAAACAAACGTGACCTCTCAGGGTTTAAACCAAAATTAAATATCTTAAATTTGAGCTCAAACTGGAAAAGTTAATTAAACCTTTTTGTTATATCATTGCAACATGCAACACCCACATTTATTTATAAATGCATTTTTTAAGGTTAAATTGATAGGCCTAGTAAAAATAAAATTCTTGGTTTTAGCAAATTTCCCTATAGGAATGTAGCTATTACCGTAGGTCTCATGGTAAGAACTAGACCCAGGACCGATTTACTTTTTCATTTTGATGTGAGGTTTTATGGGGTAAAAAATGGGTTTTGTCCTCATTTTTGACCCTCAAAACAAAAATTTTTCAATTTATCGGTCTAGACCATTTTAAAGAGCTTAAAAAAACAAATAATTTAATACATCAAAGTGTTTTTGTCCAATTTTTGTCACAGAGAAAATTCAAAAAATTGTAAATTAAAAATTCCCATGTTATTCTTATGAAGATATTTATATTGTTACATATTGTTTATGGATGTATTTGGATGAAACTTGGCAAATTAATTTATTTTATTCTAAGCTATATTAATATTTTACTAAAAAACAATTTATTTCCCTATCTGTAGCAGCAAACCCAGGTGCTTGATGAACCTAATGTTATTTGAATATGTAGATTTAATAGAAAATCCAATCAGGCAAATGGAAATTTGCTTAGTTTGCAGGTTTGCTGCGATGGGAGTATTTTATATTTTAGTGACTTATGCTCGCCATTCAACCGCGAAGGATCAACAAACTCTTTTTTTTATGATATTATAAATGTTATAATTTACTGATATAACATGTACTAGAATACATATCAAGATCTATATTATTAATAGGCTACGCCAACACTAAATTTATCCTTTGAACTCCTCCGCCATTTCTCTACTGATTTTGACCATTCACGTCTCATTGGAAAGAGTATGTCACGTAGATTTGCAAACTGACCTTAAATTTTTCAAAAAGTCCCTTGGGCTCTGCCCCTGTGGCTTTTAAAGTTCTCAATATTCACTCTGCAATTCAAGGAAACGCGTGCTACAAACATTAAATTTTACTGACAGTAGGAAATTATCATTATGACAGATTAATAAATCCAATTGCTGACTATCTTAGCTACGGTACGCAGTGTTCAAACAAAGCCTCATTGTTGGTTGAGCCTCTTACTGACCAGTCGACCGCACTGTTTGCTTTTAGTCTCTTCAAAGGCTTGTTTACAATACAAGACAATACAAATCATCTTTATTGATGAAAGTATTTTTACCGGAAATACATGAATTGCACCACAGAAAGGAAAAGAGAAAAACAAATTAGGTATATAAGTATTCTAAATAAGAAATTACAAACATAAATTATAATATAACATATTTCAAATTATTTAAATTCCAAAACTCTTCTATTGAACATAATGATATAGATTGAAAATAGTTTTTCAGTAGTTTTTTTTAAGTTATTGTAATTATGTTAATTGAAAATATTTTTTTTTTTTTTTTTTTTTTTTTTTTGGATGGACCATTGAAGAAGATTTGACATGAACAGCATGTGATTTTGTGCTCCCTTGTTTTTTCAATATATCAGTGGTAAAACTCTAATCTTTTGTAAATATTTTTAGCTACAAACATGGAGCTAATGTTTATGTTTATGAAAATGTAAGTAGTATGTTTTAAAAAGAATTTTTACTATCATAAACTATAACGAAAGATAAAGGATTTTTATGATTTTTCATGATCTACTTTTACAAAGTTGATAAGGCCTGCTGATAAGGAGGGACCAGCTCAAGGTGCAAGCTACTGACCTTTGTACTGCGAGATAAGAGCACCTGTTGCTCTAACTCAATTACTTTGTTTACAAACATTGCTATCTTAAGACTGGACTTTTAATTTGTTCCTTTAAAATAGTTTGTTGATTTTGTTTGTTTTGATTTGGTATTTAAAAAATATATTTTCTTAAAATCTGATAATGGCTGTAAATAAAAATACTTTTTCTGCCATGCCAAAAGGTTGGATTAGAGAAGAACATGTTAGGAAAAATGGCCTAAGCAAAGGAAAGACGGACATATATGTCAAATCCCCAAATGGGAAACTTTTCAGGTCAAAAACTGAGCTTGTAAAATACATAAAAGAGAACAATTTAAACTTGAAAATAGAAGATTTCAACTTTTCTACTTCAAAAAAATCTGGTAGTAAAATTAATCTATCACTTAATAGCTCAACAAGTTCATTGAGTGAATTAAGTTTCTCAAATAGTTGTAAACTGAATGATGTATCACTGAGTACAAGTCAGAAAATCCAATTTATTTCAACTGAAACACAGACAGAAAATATCTACAACAACACTTTGGTAACAGATGAGCTACTCAGCAACCAATGGCTCTCTGACTTAACTTTGCAGCGATACTTTGACCTTATAAATTCTAGATTTCTTTCTGTGCACAAATGTTTGATCATCAATCCACTAATATGCCATGCCATGAAAAATATGGATGATTACACACACTTCTTTGACTCCCTTAAAGTAAAGGACTTTAAAACTTTGATCATGCCAATAAATGATTCAAAGCAACTGGACGGTGTGAGTGGCTCTCACTGGAGTGTTCTTGTGTATACACAGACAAACAACCGCTTCCTCTACTATGACTCATTGGGTGAACATAACTTGAAAGATGCTAAAGTCGTAGCAAATAAAGTGTCACAGTATTTAGATGCGCCTGGCTTCCATTTTCAAATTGTCAATGGACCTAAGCAGATCAACTCTTATGATTGCGGAATATACGTCTGTATGTTTGTTGAACTCCTAGTCTTTGGATCAAAACCTATTAATCACAGTACATTAAATCTGAATGAACTCTCTACCTACAGTCTACCTACAGTGTCCCCGACTGATCTCATTAAAAAAAGATCACTGTTAGCCTACATATTAAAAAACAGTGTAATGCTGTCAAATGAGGAAATACGCCTACTTACAACCGAACAAGATTTCTCAGCCAGTAACAACTCTACCGCATCTTCAAAACCTCTTACATGTGATGTAACCACACAAACACAAAGCACGAATAAGAACA